GGTTGATGTGAAAGGAGAAAAAAAAAATTGATTAAATTAAACATACTCGTAAAAAAAAAAAAAAGAAATTCATTGAAGTCTAATAAAACCATTAGAATGACATGTAACTGATTTTTGAACAGAAGTGTATGGATTTTTACTTACATTTCCTGCTTTATAGCCAGACATTCGTAATTCATTTGCATCAATATAAAATATTAATTCCCCATAAGTGCTTTTGTCACTTCAGGGAAGAATCCATTCAGGTTTTTTGGTTTTCTTTTTTGTAAATTGAAGGTGCTTCCTTTTTGGATATTTGTTGTTAATATCTCATAAGAAATTGTTACAAACTCTTTGGTAGTCATCATAAATCACCCACTATTGCATAGTTTCAGCATTAGTATAGGCTACTGCAATCTCGGCTGGATCCATTCCTGACAATACTTGAAGTCTTACTCTTCGTTTATAAGTATTTCAGAAACCTTTTTTTTTTTTTTTAAATACAGATTTTTAACTTTTTACTCTGAGCTAGGAAGATCCATTCTAAAATATTATCCTCTCTTTGTATAATTTGCCCAGTAGAGGAATGGCTAGAAGGTAAAACAACTAAAATACATTCAGTTGTGAGATCTGATCTATCCACATTGGCATTTTGTAATTCTTGTTCCACTTGGGCCAATTTCTTTTCTGCTATATATATTAATTACATTGAACTACTTGAGTCTGAGTCATCTTGCAAAATTTGAAATACTTAATTATTGAATAGTCAGTCAGTTAATATCACCCAATAATTTAGAAAATCTTTCAGAGTGAGCAATTGATGTCTTTTAATCTGTACCTTTTGTGGCTGTATTCTCTGTTTATTTAATTTAAATACTAAATAAGAGAATCTCAATCTTTTTTTTTTTTTTTTTAGGAGAAATGTGTATTCCCCCCAAAAGGCAAAAAATTCTTGTATTATATTAAACCTTCTTTCTAAGGTATCTGTATCAGAAGCGCCCAGTACAGTATCCATATAATGCTAAATAATAGATTTAGGAAATTGTTTATGAGCCATTTCCAGTAGTTGCTGCATAAAATATTGACACACAATTGGACTGATTCCTTAAGGAATTACCTTCTATTGATATCTTTTTACAGGCTGGGCATTACTATAAGTAGGCACTGTAAAAGCAAAATTTTCTCTATCTTGTTCTTGTAAAGGGATAGTAAACAATCTTGAAAATCAATTATTGTAACAGGCCAAACTCTGGGTAATAAAGAAAGTAAAGGAATTCCAGGCTGTAAAGATCTCATAGGTTGAATTACTTTATTTATAGCTCTCAAAACTGTTTACATTATCTATTTTCCAGATTTCTTTTTTATTACAAATATAGAAATCCAAGGGCTAGTAGTTTCCTCAAATGTGCTTAGCATCTAACTTTTTTTTTTTTTAACTAGTTTTTCAAGTATCTGCAATTTTTCTTTAGTCAAGGGTTCCTCATGCTCTACTCCTGCTTATTACTTAGACATTTTAAAGGCAGAACAGTTGGGTTACTGTAGTGGCCTTATTCCAAATTTGAATAGCCAATTCCTATTTTGTCCTGCTATTTGACAACCTCTATTGCCTGTGATTTTCCTTGATAATTCTTCCTAATACCTTTTCCAGGAACATATCTCATTTTAAGCATCATTTTATAAGCTGTTTCTGAAATTGTAGAAATACTAATTTGAGTACCCCATTGTTGTAATACATCGTTACCCATAAATTCATGGCTTTCTCAGCCCCACAGGGCTTTAATATTCCTATTTGTCCTTCAGGTCATATACATTTGATCCACTCTAGGTTTTGTTTCACTTGACATAATGTTCCAGTGCCTAAAAACTAATTGGAAACTTCTAGTAAAGGCTGGTTGGGATTCTAAGATTTTTCCAAAATTATAGATACATCAGCTTTACTGTAGACTAAAAACTTTTATCTCAGTGTCTTCTATTTGTAACTTTAGGCTGTCATCATTAATAACAGTTTGCCAAATACTTCTTTTCTAGTACTTAAAAAACTACTGACCTATATATTGGGGCTGTTTTACCTTTAAAATATGGGAGTAATAACAATTGAGCAAGTCTGTCATCAGCTTTATTTGTATAGTTCTTTTTTACATAAGGCATCTATAAAGTATTAAAAGCAATCTCTGTAGGATTTTAAGAGGTAACTTTGGGCAATAGCCATGGGGTATTTTTATAAAATTTTTAAAAAAGAATTTGTTTTTATAGATCCCAAGTAACATATTAATGCAACTCGTCAATTATTAAAAGTAACAACCATTTACCTTTATTTAGTGGAAAAATAATTTTTGTAGGCTCTCTACCAGTAAGAGATTATTTTTATGAGCTTTTGTCATAGCAGCCGTAGTATTTAATAAGCTAGCAACCCACTCTGTTTCAGGTGTTACATTTTTATAGAGTTTAACCAAAAAATTTCAGGAAGAAAGTAATGATAAACAGACAAGAGCATACCCAATAATATCATTCAAAATCATGGGCTTTCCTCTTTTAGTTTATTTACTATGAATGTTAAACATTGGTTTAAACATTAATCAGATGATCAAGAGAAGAGAATATCCTCTATATAGTAGATGGCTAATACCTCTGGAAATTCAAACAACATTGGCTTAGTACTCTGTGCCTTGACTGCAATTGTCTTTACCAAAAATTGGGCCTGTTAATTTTTTTCTCCCATGAAGGAAGCATTGATAATGAGTTAGTTCCATTACTAAGGGAAAATAAAAAACATTTCTAATGAAGGAACCTTTAGTATAGAGTTATTTCCATTCTGATAGAAAAACAAGAAAAACATTTAAACCAAAATTAGCAAACAAGAAAATTCTAAAGTTCTGGACAGGCTGTGCTAGCTCAGTCTGTAGCCATGGAGCCCCACCCATCATTCTTTGAAATTCAAATGCAGACACTCTGTAGTCATGGGCTCATGGCTGACAGCATGGAGTCAGAAAGCTCTGAGTCCCAGTTATCTTTAATTTTTTTTCTTTTATTGAAAAGAACCCTTTTCCTTCCTCTGTTTCCACTGGGAGGAGGCCTTCTTTATTTTCTTGTTCATAGGGCCTTTTAATTTTTAGATCTTGATTTAACATTTTCCCTTCTACCAGGAAAATACCTTTTTCTCATTTAAAATCTTCCCTTTTCCATCAAGAAATTTTCATTTTATAATTTCTTTTTCTTTCCCGAGAGGGCCATTTTCCTTGATTTATTCTTCATCTCTGGATCCATTCTATTTTATCTTTAATATTTACAATAATTTTCCAGTTAACACTTTTTCTGATAACAAGTGCTTTAGCAACTGTACATTTTGTTGCTCCTGAGATAGGGAATTTAAACTCCTTGTGATCCTGTCCAGAACCTGAAGTTCTCTTACCCTGAGTGTGCACTTTTTGTTTTTTTAAACCCCTGATCCTAGAACATCCATATCCACCCTTTTTTTCAAGATTTGTGATATGGGTACCCAGAATGTCCCATGTTCAGTTTTGCATCGGTTTGTGGAAGAAAACGGGCACTCCCTCATGAATTTTGGCTTTTGTCATAGGCAAGGGCCCAGCTCCTGGTGAACTAACTTGCCTGTTGCTTCTTAAAAGGCTTTTTTTTATTATTATACAATTTACACATTTGAAAGTCAATTTCCACACACCAAAACCTCTTATCTGAAGCTTGCCAAAGCAAGTTTTAGTTACAGAATCTTTCAGTTTTCTGAGTTCTTCTACAACCAAGTTTTTCATAGGCTTTGAATTATTGCCAGACTTTCTTTGGACCACCAGCTTTCGAATAATGTCACAGAGACTTCTTATTAATTATGAAAGCTTGTCTTTAATTTAGGCTTGTTCCCAGCTAGCTCTTAAAACTCAAATTAATCTGTTTCTATTAATCTCTGTTTTGCTATGTGGCTTGTTACCTTTCCGTCATACTGTACATCTGCATCTTGCTAGTAAATGTTCACTTCTCTGATTCTGTCCTAGAGTTCCTATCTCTGCCCGGAAGTCCCACCTATCTTCTCCTACCTACCTATGGGCTGTTTATCTCTTTATTAAACAAATGAAAAGTTGTCTTGGCAGAGACATATCTTCACACTGTACAAAAAGATTTTCCCACAACACTGAACCTTTTAGGAAGAACTCAGATAAGATTTACATACTTCAAAAGAAAGATAGCTAACACAAAAGGTCACAAAAGGGAGATCAAGGCCCAGGGGCTAACACTCCAAAATCAAGCCAGCTGCCATGATGTGCAGGAATTCTGGCTATACCCATCCATTTGCAAGATCAGCAAGAACTCTTTACTACTAGACATCTGTCCTATCCTGTTGTTTATTTTTTATCAGCATTTACATTGCTACTGATTCATCTGTCCATTTGTAACTGTTTAATCATGCATTCCCTTTTAATTAAGATGTTATTAATGTTTCATTTTAAACTGAGGTACTTCAGATTTCTAGAAAATGAATACAAAACTGCATAAACATTTTAGGAACGACAATAAAAACTCTGAGTTCTTTCTTTTTTTGTTTGATTGATTTTTGCAGATGACAGGGTCTTAATATATAACTTTTGCTGTCCTGGGTTTGTTTAGACCATGCTGGCATTCAACTCAATGAGATTACCTTCTTCTGCCTGCTGAGTGTTGGGATTGACCCATTACACCCAGCTTGTCCATCTTTTTTTGTAGTTAGTAATTGTTCATACAATATCTCTGGTATGTATTTAGTACTGTTGATTTGTTTGCCTCTCTCTTTTTAAGTCTGTTAATTAGCATTTCTCTTGCAAGGCTATGTATCATTCAAAGGGTGCAGGAATGACAAAGATGGACCTTCTATTCAGTTTCCTTCTAAAGTGGCTTGGTGATTACAGTCAAAATTCTGTGTTATGGAATAAGTGTGGGAAACACCAGAATTATAGGAATATATTGTCAAGGATGTATGCATTTACAATTCTGTTTGTGTCATGCTTTCTGTTGTACACATGTATGGGGTAATTTAGAGTGCAGTGTCCTATGATGATGTGCATGTCGACTTCACTCGGGAAGAGTGGGCTTTGCTGGATCTTTCACAGAAGAATCTCTACAAAGATGTGATGCTGGAGACCTACAGGAACCTCACTGCTGTAGGTAAGATTGTGAATTTTACTTCACTTTTTAAAATAATGGGCAATTGCTTCTTGGTTATTGATGCTCTTCTGCATTTTGATTGAGAAAGAGGAAGAATGAGGTGAATAAATCAAGTAGAATTCTAAGTTCACTGAAGGTAATAAATTTTGCATAATTTCATATAACACATCATATATTGTTTGGTTCTACATTATAGGCTACAATTTGGGAGACCATAATATTGAAGAACATTGTCAAACTTCTAGAAGACATGGAAGGTAATTTTCATGTACAAGTGGATAGAAGTGTGGCTCTTAGGAAATTTTAATGTGAACTGGAAGTTTCAAGGCAAAGCTACAGTGTAAATAATCACAGCCTTCAGTGTAGTGATGATTATTAAATTCTCACAAAGTTATGTGCCTCAATGTCAGAAAACTGATTTGTATTTGAAAGGCATTCTTATATGAAAGAAGATAAGGAAAAAAGTGCCTTAACAGATTATCACCTTTTGAATCATAGCCCCATGACAGCTATGCTGTCATGTAGCAATCCATTTAATTTCATACCACTCAGCTATTTCAAAAGGTATGTCTGATGAAGAGGTGATATTTATATGTCCAAAATCTTCTAATAAGTAAGCAGTTCATGATAAAGTTGATGTTGCTCATGTACTTTTTGGTACTTTGCAGAGTTTAGTGAGAGGGTCAGTTTATGAGACTCTAGAAGATTGTTGTGGTGAAAACTTAACCTCTATACCACAGGACTACAAGGAACCAAAAGACCAAATGGTGTGAATGCAATGTGGAAACCTTACGTTAACTATTTTTTCTTTTTCTTTACTAGTTAGTTCATATGTCACTCAATACAAGCCATATGGGCATGGAAAGAAGCAATATGACCTGATTTGTGTTTATAATTAGATTAAATTGTAGAATTAATTTATTCAGATGAAAAGATTATGTGTGTAATGTATTTGTTAAAGCTTTTACATGTGTCAATTATCTTTGCAGGCACGAAAGAAATCATACTGGAGTGAATTCCTGTGAATATACTCAAAGTGGTAAAGCCCTTGCATATGAAAGTCTTCTTCAAAGGAACGAAATAATTCCTACTGGAGAGAAACGCAATCAATGTAGTCAGTGTGGTAAAGCTTTTGCACATCACAGTTATCTCCGAATACATAAAAGAACACATACTGGAGAGAAACCCTGTGAGTGTAAGCAATGTGGTAAAGCCTTTGCACATCTCAGTAGTCTCCGAAGACATAAAATAACACATACTGGAGAGAAACCCTACAGATGTAATCAATGTGATAAAGCGTTTTCACAACCCACTAGTCTCCAAATACACATCAGAACACATACTGGAGAGAAACCCTACGTATGTTATCAGTGTGGTAAAGCCTTTTCACAACACAATAGTCTCCGAGTTCATAAAAGAACACATACAGGAGAGAAACCCTACAAATGTAATGAATGTGGTGAAGGCTTTGCACGCCACAGTCACCTTCAAAGGCATGAAAGAATTCATACTGGAGAGAAACCCTATGAATGTCTTCAACATGATGAAGCCTATGCACACTTCTATACTCTTCAGCATCATGAAAGAATTCATACTGGAGAAAAACCCTATGAATGCACTCAGTGTGGTAAAACCTTTGCACATAACAGGCATCTCCGAATGCATAAAAGAACACATACTGGAGAGAAAGCCTGCAAATGTAATCAATGTGGTAAAGCCTTTGCACATAAGAGTTATCTCCGAATGCATAAAAGAATACATTCTGGAGAGAAACCTTATGAATGTAGTGAATGTGGTAAAACCTTTGCATACCACAGTTATCTTCGAATACATAAAAGAACACATACTGGAGAGAAACCCTATGAATGTGCTCAATGTGGCAAAGCCTTTGCACGTCATACTAGTCTCCAAATACATAAAAAAACACATACTGGAGAGAAACCATATGCTTGTAATCAGTGTGATAAAACTTTTGCACATCACAATTACCTCCGAATACATAAAAGAACACATACTGGAGAGAAACCATATGAATGTACTCAATGTGGTAAAACCTTTGCACATCACAGTAGCCTTCAGATACATAAAAGAACACATACTGCAGGAAACCCTATGAATACAAGCACTGTGGTTAAACCTTTGCAAGTAACAGTAGTTTTCGAAGTCATGAGAGAAAATCGTACTGGAGAGAATCCCTAAACATGTAGTCAGTGTGGTAAAGTCTTTGCACTTCAAGGTAGTGTTCATAAAAGAGAAAAACCTTTAGTGTGTAATCAATCTGTTAAAGCTTTTGGATATCATATTAGTCTTTGAGAACCTGAAAGGAGTCATACCAAAGGGGAAGTGACTATAAAGAACTTAGTAAAATCTTCAGCCAACATACTTATGTTCAATTACACAAGATTATTGTGGAAGAAAATCTGACAAGTGTCAACAGCTTATCCAAGCGTTAATGATGTCCCTTTTTATTTTGTTTTCATTGTAAACTCATATGGAGAAAAGTCCTATGAATTTATACAATGAGATAACTCTTTTAGATTTCATACTTCTCTTCAGTAAGATGAAATAGCTCATGTAGGTGTAAGGCTTCATGGGTGTGGTTGGTCTGCACCCTCCAAGTCTTCCACTCTTGCCTTTTTTTTGGCAACTACTTGTAGCTGTCAGTGACAGCACTCTGCAGGCTCCCACTTGGTGGTCTCCACATGGACATTAGCTCTTCTGTCCCCACCTGGTCATCCCTGTCACCTGCCTGCCTAGTAGGATTAAGGATATCCTAAAGAGACATTTAGATCTGGCTAGTGAAATAGTGGACCCCCATGAAATTCTGATTTCCCAGGAATCTCATTCTGGGCAAAGACTGAGTTTTCCAGAAGAAAACTTCTCTGCTGAAGAAGCATTTACTTCTTAGCTGAATACCTTGCACTGGAGAAAGCTGAGAATTGGGAGGAATTTGGGGATGAGAAGATTTCATTATATGGCTTTGTGAGATTTCTCAGTTGGATTGATTACCTTATATCTTCATAACTGTTCCAAATTAGTCATATTGAATAAATATCATGTTTTAATTTTTATTAGTAGTCTTTTTATTCTTTTTGTTTTTGTTTTTGTTTTTTTATTAACAATTAGCCTCACTATGATTCCCTGTCTGGCCTGGAAGTGACTCTGTAAACTAGGCTGTCCTAGGAAATCTGAGAGATCTGCCCACATTGCCTCCAGAGTGTCTGCATTATAGGTGGGCACATCACAACTTGATAACTTAGTTCTTTTAATTGGCTTAATAAGAATGAGTGGCTGAGCCTGGATGGTTCTAACTCCAGTAACAGAAGAAGGCTCCCTTCAAATGCAGTCCTCCTACCTTAAGTCCACTGTCTTGGAACTGTGAGCAATATTGTTTGTGTTTATCATTGAGTCTGTTACAACTCATCAAGGGACTGGGGCAGAGTTCTGACATTATAATACAAATGATGAACCCAGGCTCACAGAGATATGGGGTTTCTGAATGTAGTTAAGTGTAACTGCTCATCTTACCCATCCTGTCATTCTAATGATTCACTAAACAAAGTTGAAGCCACCTAAGCAGGCATGGTGGCTTATAACCATGGACATAAAAAGTGGAGGCAGGAAGCCACACAATGGTGGTGTACGCCTTTAATCCTAGCACTTGGGGGCCAGAGGCAGTTGGATCTCTGTGAGTTCGTGGCCAGCCTGGTCTACAAAGCTAGCAAGTTCATACACGACAGGCTCCAAAGCTACACAGAGAAATCCTCTCTGGAAAGACAAAACAACAACAAAAAAAGATTTTAAGCTGGGCAGTGGTGGTGTATGCCTTTAATTCCAGCATTTGGGAGACAGAGGCAGGCCTGGTCTAAAAAGTGAGTTCCAGAACAGCCAGGACTATTGCACAGAGAATTGTCTTGGGGGGGGGGGAGGAAAGAAGGGAGGGGAGAGAGAGAGAGAAAGAGGGAGAGGGAAAGGGAGGAGGTGGGAATTTCAGGATTTCAAAGTCATCTAAAGTGAGAATAGTCAATGGGGCATGGTGGGAGGCCCAAAGAACCAAGACCAAGATTGGCTTTGGCTAGTGTCCATAGTCTTCCCTTGCAGCTCCTTCAGGGCCATGACACCAGCAAGTGTTAGCTGAGCTATTATACCCCAGGTTTCCTAATTTTGAAAATGTTTCCTGTCCAAAGCAGCTTGGTCACTTCAGGGTCAGACTCCTTTTTCTCATTAAACACTGGAATTTTTCTCCAAGCGTTAGGCAGGGATGAACTCGCTAATTGCATATCCAAAGCGATGTGTTGAGCCCTGAAACCATATATACACAACCAACAGAAATGGACTCAGAAGGTATTATTCATGCATTAAGTTGTGCAAATTGAAGCACACATGCTTAACAAGGATGAAATTGGAAGGGAAGAATTTGGGAAGGGACAGACAGAGGACAAGGAAGGAGGAAAGTGATATACTGTATTTTAAAGTATATAAAAATGCATCTGTAATGAAAAAGTGGCTAGAGAGACAGCTTAGCAGTTAAGAGCCATGGGCGGTGTTATGGAGGACACATGTTCCATTCCCAGAAACCACTTGGTTGCTAACAGTTTCCCATAACTTCATTCCTAAGAGACCTGATTCCCTCTTCTGGCCTCTGCAGATACTGTGTAGACACTTTTAGGCAAATGCATGTATACAAAACACAAAAATAAAGCTTAAAAATTGAATTCCTTACAGAGATATCACAGCTCAGAGACAGAGCAGACAGAGCTAGTTAAAATGAACTTCCGTTACTGCATGAAAGCAGCTGTGGCCTTCCTCTGACAAAACCTGCTCAGAAGCAAAAGCAATCTTACTGTGAGACTAGAGTTGCTCAGCAGGACCTCATCTAAGAACAGCATGCACAGTGTCAATAAGTGACTTTTCCTTGATGTTTTCTGTATTTGTGTTCTTTGCCGTTTGTATGTGTAAGAATTAAAGGCAGTGTTACATCTTTTTTAAAAAATTCTATTGGTAACATCTTTTAAATGTAGATCATATTGCATGATCCAAAAGATAGATTTCCTCTGTAAATCTCCATCCATGCAGGTAGCTAACATTGCCACCTTCTGTCCCTATTTATTTATTTATTTATTTTGATTTAATAAAGTTTTATTTTTTCAAATGTACAGCTGATTGAACCTGTTTATGCATCTTCACCAGCAGCTGGGGCATCTCCACCCTTTGTGTTTCTGGTATAAATTACTTGGGCTCTGTGTTTTGAAACCAGCTTGATAAGTCCTTTACTAAGTAGTTCCTGAAGGGCAGCTCTGGCCAAGGAACCTCAAATCTTCAGTCTCTCAGAGACCACAGTCGGAGTAATAAGCTTATAATTGGGCACTTCCTTACAGAGTTTGTCGTATGTAGCTTTGTCAAACAGGACTAGATTGTTGAGCTTCTCCTGAACTTTGCTTTTGGGCCACTTCTTTTTGTCCTTGCCACCAGACTTATTTACTGGGTCTTTGTCTTTCTTGGCCGACTTTCCGGCATCTTTCTTCTTTTCATCCTTAGGCGGCATGATGAAGCTCGGAGAGTGGCGACAACCACTGTAGCCTCCCTAAGATGTCGGGGAAAAAAAGCTTCTGTCCCTATTTAAATTGTTCCATGTATAACCTGAGGCCCGAACCTAAAAGAGACTTAAGGATGACAGCATAAGAGGAATACAAAATCTATTCTAGTCTGGCTCCTCTTAGCATTAGCTACATGCACAGTGTTGTTAGAGAAATTTTTGTTTATTAATCTTTTAAGAGTGTGGACTGATTTCTATCTGGGGAGACATACTAATTCTGGAACAACTACCTGTTTCTGTTGTGGGACATTTTGATTGCACTCTGTCAACTCTGGAGACTTGTCAATAAAGTTAAACCTTGAATCATGATGGAGCCAGTAACTAGCTGACTGGAATTAGCCAGAGAGAAGCCAGAAATTTGGGCAGAGAGGATGCACAGGAAGGAAAGGGCAAGGAATGGAGTTTGAACTTCCTCCTGGTTCTGGGACAAGGAAAGAGATGTGTCTCATGCAGTGCATCTGACCAAAAAGAAATGTCAGTTCCTACTCAGCATCTCTGAGCTATAGGTTTTTACCTCAGCCTTCAACTGCTGAGTTTTATTAATAAATAGAATTATAGATACTTAAACCTACATGTGATCGCTGCAACAGGACCAGAAACTTCACGAGGCCATGATTTGAGTAGCCAGTGGGATGCTGACTGAGGGGCCATAGGGCTGAAGACAATAATTAAAATACCAGCTGATATTTGCCTCTAAGCTGGTATAGAAACATCACAGGGTGCTCCAATGCATGCCACGGACATATGGACAGAGAAATCTTGCTAGCTGGTGCCGCCGAAGTCCTCCCACCCCCCAAATCTGGGTCCCTCTGAGACATCAGGACTCTAGAACATGGATGGACTCATGCTTGGAAATCATGGGAGGGGAAGGCTGGAGCTCTCCAATGTTGGTGCTGTTGCTATGAACAAACTGAGAAGTCAGCAGATATGGTTAGACACTTGAGATGTCCTTAAGGAGAGAGTAAATAATATAAAAATGAAAAAAAAATCCCATATTAAGAATAACAGTGTTACAATGCATGGAGTTGACTCTGTATAGTGCTACTATGGATGGCTTGCAAATTGAAAAAAATGAGGGATAAACCAGTTAGCTGGCATTGATTATAACTTCTTTCAGTTTGGTAATTGAGGCGGTTTGAAAGAAAATGGCTCCCAAGGGGAGTGGCACTACTAGTAGGTGTTGCCTTGTTGGAAGAAGTGTGTCACTGTGGGGTGGGCTTTGAGGTCTCTTTTTCTCTAGCTTCCCTCAGTGTGACTGTCAGTCGACTTCCTGTTGCCTGCAAGATGTCGCACTCTTGGCCCTGCACCATGTCTGCCTGCATGCTGCCATGCTCACCTTCATGACAAACCACTGAAAATTGTAAGCTAGCCACCCTCAATTAAATGTTTTCTATATAAGCATGGCCATAGTCATGGGGACTCTTCATAGTAATAATACGTTATAATTAAGGTATTAAGTCATATTTTATCCTTAAAAAGGTGGTTTGATAACTGCTAAAAAATGAAAATTTGGCTGATATAAGCTAAGGTAACTTACTGCTGAAGAAATATTTGACTGATAAAATACAACCCTTAGAAAGACTTACAAATGAAAATAAAAATTTGACTGATAACATAAAAGTCTTAGAAGGGCTTACTATTGATATACAAGCTTTAGAAAGACCTACTAATGAAAATAAGAAAAATACTCTTATGCAGACAGGGGAATTTAGAGCAAAACCCACCATACCATTACATTATGAAACTGAAGAGGGGCAGCCTAAGGTTATTAGAAAACCAGCCTATAAGAAGGACCACCATATAATAGGCACCCCCCCCAAAGCTATGCAGAATTTAATGGGAATCCTGTAGAAATGTTAGATTTTAAGAGATTTAAAGAAGCAGTAATTTCTTATGGTATGCATTCAATTTTTATGAAACAGATGTTAAATTCATGGGAAACTAGATCAGAATTATTCCACAAAACTGGAAAGGTTTAGCTATAGCAACATTGGAAGCTGGTCTTCAGTTATAATGGGAAACATGGTAGAGGGAGGAAGCTAGGGTCATAAAACAAGTAGGACTAGAGGTATTGAAATTTCCCAAGACCACTGGGAATTTTCTTGGTGAGGGCAATACTGATTTGTAAAGATAATTTACAGTTGATGATCACATCTTGGTTCCATGCCATATAGCAGTTTTGAATGCTTGCAACAGGGTTTAAGAACCAGGAAAGAGGACTGGGTCATTTACTAAAATTATATAAGGCCCAAAAGGAGTCTTCATTAATTTTTTTACAAAGATTGAATGATATTAGATCCAGAAGTTAGAAGTTAGACAATATTAATTGAATCTTTGGCTTTTGAGAGTGCTAATTTATAATGCAAGGGTGTGATTAGGCCTTTAAAGTTAAGATCAGCACCCATAAATGAATGGATCTAAAGTACACAGCTGACAGTGGATCTCATGATACTTAAATAGGAGAAGTGATTTCTA